GACGTCGTAGACGTCATTGGCCTGCATTGCCGCAAACTCGTCCAGGATGGCTTGGCGCCACTCCTCAGAGTCTGGCGAGGCAAGCGCCTCCTTGACGGTGGCTGGCTCAGCTGACGTGGCAACACTGCCAGCAGCGATGTCTGGTAGATGACCACCCACTGCTGATGTGACATGTCGAACGCAAGACAAGCAGAGGATGTGCGTGTGTTTGTGTGTGCGTGCGTTAGCGTAGTGGTATGCTCACTTGTCTGCGTGTGTTTGTGTGGGTTTACTGTGTGATGTGGAAGACAGACGGGAACAAGGATGAATGAACACAAGTGAAGCACTCCCGCATTGTGGCAGAAACAACAAAGAGATTGGACGAAGAACAACACGCAAACATATGCAATACTGCACTTTGTGTGGAAGCAACACACAGCTTGAACGAAGAAAACGGAAGTGTAACAACCACAGCAGAAACCGGTTGGATCGCAGAACTATTCATGCTGTCTCCAGCTTTCCGGACATAAGCAAACACACCCACATGCACATGACACGGACTCGTCTCTCCACACACCCCCTCAACTCGCATGCAGCACTTGCTCTCGGCACTGCGTCAGAGATGGACGAGGCAGGGCCTTCGTCAGCATGTCTGCAAGCAGCTTTGTGCCGGGTTCATACACTGCCTTGACGACGCCTTCGCCAATGAGCTCGCGCAGAAGGTGATAACGCAGCCGTATGTGTTTGGAGCCGCCCTTGGCCACGGGATTGGTAGCAATGCACATGGCAGACTGGCTGTCCATGTGGAGTGGTGTGGTGCCGACGTCGAAGCCCAGCTCCTGGAGGAGTTGTCGCAGGTACACCGCAGCCTGTGCTGCGCGCGCAGCGGCGACGTACTCTGTCTCCGCCGATGATGTTGTGACGAGAGGCAGCCTCTTGGACAGCCATGTCACAGGGCCACCGGCGATGGTGAACAAGTGGCCTCCATGCCCCTTCGACGTGTAGGGGTCAGACATGTGACTTGCGTCTGTGTAGCCAAGGAGTTGAAGCGAATCACCCGCACTGTACTTGATTGCCAGAGCCGCCGTGCCCCGTAGGTACTTGCAGACATGTCTGGCCGCGTGTAGGTGCTGCTTGCCGGGTTGCTGGATAAATCTGGAGAGCACGGATGTGGCGTAGCTGATGTCGGGACGCGTCGTCACTGCGAGATACAGCAGACTGCCAATGATGCTCTGGTAGTGACGAACGTCGACCTCGGCTTGTTCCACCGGCACGAGCTTCATCTTGACGGGGAGTGGAGTTGCCTTCGCCTTGCAGTCCTCCAGGCCTTCTTGCTTCAGCACAGTCTGGATGTAGTCGTGCTGGTTCAGCGTCATAACGCCGCGTTCTCTGTCATAGGAGATCGCAATGCTGAGGTATTGTCGTGGCGCGCCCAAGTTCTTGAGGTCGTAGTTGGCTGCAAGCACAGCCTCTGCACGGTCCATGTGCTCCTGTGTCGTTGCCGCCACAAGGAAGTCGTCGACGTGCACGCAAATCATGACTGTGCGATCCTGGTTGACGAAGATGCAGGCGTCGGACCGCAAACGCTGGAAGCCGCTGCCGCCAATCGTCTTCCAGACAGATGCGTACCACAGCTTCGGCGCCTGGCGCAGGCCATAGAGGCTCTTGCGCAGCTTCAGCACAGACCCGGCAGGGAGGTTCGCTGCCTGCGGCGGACGCACAAACACGTTTGCCATGTCGAGCTCGGCATGGAGAAAAGCCGCAGACACATCGAACTGGCACAGCAGCATGTGTCGCTGGGCTGTAGCAGCGAGAAAGGTGCGCAGAGCCTCGAAGCGTGTCGTGGGCGAAAATACATCTGCGTATGTGTCCTCCGTCTGCCGGTTGCCGCAGCAAACAAACCGGACTTTGTGGACAATACTGCCGTCCGGTTTGTGTTTCACAGCAAAGACGAGCTTGGACGGTATTGGTCGCACGCCCATGGGAAGAGTGCGCTGGTCAACGATGTCGAAGACGTCGTGCCGAATCATGTTACTCCACTCCTTGACGAAGGCCTCCTGCCACTTGCTCTTGTGTGCAGAGGCCATGGCGTCCCGCCATGTCTTGGGGACCGGCTGCTGCGGTGGCTGGTGCGTCTGTACCATCGCATTCTTCAACAGGGTAGTCCGCAGGCAGAGGATGTCGGTCTCGTAGCCGTCACTGTCGTCGCTGTGATCGCCATCGCCATCGTCATCACTGCCGTCGTCTGCCGTTGACGAGTCAGGATGCTTGCTGTTGACGGCACAGCTTGTCTTCTGCTGTGCTGACGTCACTGTCGTCGCTGTGATCGCCATCGCCATCGTCATCACTGCCGTCGTCTGCCGTTGACGAGTCAGGATGCTTGCTGTTGACGGCACAGCTTGTCTTCTGCTGTGCTGATTGCGCGAGTGGTGCAGATGTTTGTGCGCCGCCGCTGTCGCCCTGCCGCATGGGGTCAGGTGTGTCCTCGTCGCCCTGCCGCATGGGATCAGGTGTGTTCTCATCGCCCTGCCGCATGGGGTCAGGTGTGGATGCTGTTGCTGCTGGCATCACCCATAGGTTCTGCACAGTGCTGGTGCCGTTGCTGCCTGTGAGTGGTGATGTCGGTAAAGCACCCCCTTGACTCGTGCAGTCAACCTCTTCCAGGAAGTCAACGTGGATGGAGGACCTCACTCGCCCAGTTGCCTTGACGTAGATGCGATGCGCGTTGCATCGCGTGTCGAAGCCAACATAGAAGCCTTCCATGGCCCGTCGGGGAAAGGCCTTGCTCTTGTCCGTGTGGACGTGGTCATACACGAACGCCTTGCAGCCGAAGACGCGCACGTGCTGCAGTGGCGAAGGCTTGGCGAAGAGAGCCTGGTACGGTGACATGCCCAGTTGGGAGTGCGGAAGAAGGTTGTACACCCATGCAGAGTGTCCAAGCGCAGCAGACCAGAGCTTGTCCTTGAGGTGCTGCGGCAGTGGTGCCGTGTGCAGCATGGCAGCGGCAGACTCCTTCAGCGTGCGAATGCTTCGCTCCACAAGCCCGTTGTGCTCGTACACATGTGGCGGACTGTAGCGAAGGCGAAGGCCAAGCTCGTTTGCCGTTTGCACGAAACGCCGAGACGTGAAGACGGGATCGCTGTCCGTTTGAACGAGGGTGCCACGGTCAACTGGTATTGGCGTCGTTGCAACGAAGTGGCGAAGCGCATCTGCAGCCTCGCTCTTGGCCTTGACATAGGTGCAGTCCATGAACCGGGTCCTCTCGTCTAGCCAAACCAGCGCGTACTTGCTGCCCTGGATCGACGGTGGGAAGGGCCCAAGAAGGTCGAGGTGCAGCGTGTCGCCCGGGCTTTCGGCATCTCGAACTGCCTGCTTGCTGATGGGCTTCTTCACCGTCTTGAAGGCCAGGCAGCCCTCACATGTGGCCGAGCTGGGGTCGCACGCAGGGTCGCTGCTGCTGCCCGTGCTGTCGCTAAACCGCACATTCTGCTCCTCCAGAGACTTGCGAATCGTGTGAAGGGAGCGATGGCCGAGGCGACGATGCCACGTGTGCAGCGTGTACACTGCGTTGCACTTCTGCATGACCTCGGGCTTGCCCAGCTGTGCGTCAAAGTAGTACGTCTTGTCGTCGTGCTGATGCAATGTCAGGATCGAGCCGTCAGGACAAGCAACCGCCGACGTCTCCTTGTCCAGGCACACCTTGAGGCCTGAGTCGACGAGCCTGCCGGCCGAGAGGATGTTGAACCCAAATGTGGGAAGAACATGACGTTGTTGATGGTCACAACGACATCCTCACCCGGGACTCCCTTCGTCTGCAGCACGACTGGCCTGCTTGCTCCACTG